GCTTTCCCAGGTTAATGAAATGCCTGACCAATACTTGTTTAAAATGATCTCAACAAAGAATGTCGTTCTCTCTTATTTTTCTTTTTTTTTCTTTTTTTTCTTTTTTTTTTTTAAAGAGGGTATTTGATTTGCTCATTTGGTTTTGATGCATTAAATATAATTTATGTACATTTGACAAATTTCAAAAATAAATTTAATTTACCCAATGAGGGAAAATCTACAGTCAAAATGTATGTGTTTTTTTATGTTTCATTTCTTGTTGGAGGAAAAAAAAAAAAAGACTTCCCGAAATGTCAATAATTCACTCATGAAAAGTATGTTTAATTTTGATGTAGCGCTGTCCACAATGTCTGACTCTACACTGACGATGAGACTAATTACTGAAGCTTAATTTTACAGCCTTTAAGATGCAAACTTTGCGATGACGACCCATGTCTTCTTAGAGACTTCTACGTTAGTACTGTATGTATAAAACCAGGCTGTAAAATAAAGCATTACTTTGTTATCTAATATCCCGACTATGCTATTTGTGATCATCCATATGCAGTGATTACCCTTCCATTCCACTTCTTTACTTATTATATAACACTAAAGAAATACGAGTTTATTAACTACAACTCAGCACATCCAGCCTGTCTTTCATGTTTTCTAACTGTTTGCAAATAACCTTTTTTATTTCTAATATGAGCCTTGCCATAATGCTACAGTGTTAAACACAAGAAGGGCAAGACACAAAGTTTTTAAGTTCATAGGTATTTAAAATTTATACTGTTTTCTAGTTGCAGGTTAGATTTCTGGATTAATGCATATTATTAAATTAGTGTGATGCAGAGGATGTTAATAAAGAACTTTAAAATTAGGCCTGGCACCAGATCAGCAGCCTCAGTGTTGTTCCTGCCTCTAAAAACACGGCCGAGTTGCTATGACATAGGTAGCTGTGCCAGGGCCATCATCTCTTTTTACTAGAAGGAACACGCTACAAAATTGTTAATATAAGGATGACTTAAGTTCCGGTCTCCTACCACCACAAACCTCTCAAAGGAGGTCAGAGTGCAGAGTCTAGACATGCTCAAAGGCATTTCTACAGGATATATATATATGTCTGGGCTTTGTTGTGAAGTCAATGGTCTCTCAGCCTCCTGGCCCCCCTGCTGGCCGGGAGGAAGGATGAAAAAAACCAAAGGGGATGTGCTAAATTGAGATGGACTCCAGCCCAGATGCCAACTTAGACTCTGAGTTTGCTCTCCATCCAAGAACCCACATAGAGGATTGGTTTAGGTCATCATGGCTTTGGAAGCACAAGTGCGACACATCACAACTGGTGGTGAACTGTACTTAGTCAAACAGGGACCGTGTTTGTGACAGCATAATGTATTCTAATGATGAAAGGCGATAGAAATCCTTTCACTTTCGATTGTGAGTTTGTCAGTCATGCTACTCAGAAGCACAATGGCATTAATTGCTCACAGGAATGCTGCTAAGAAGGACTGATAGAACAGGTTTAGTCTGGTCCAGCTGACAAACTGCCAGCTGAGAAAGAACAACTTGATCAAATTCATATTTTATTGCTGCTGCAACATGATCATCATCACCTGAGCACTCCCTGACAGCACTGTACTGTGAATGACATCCTACTGTGCAATGTACAACAACCTGCCATTTTATTCTCACCCATTTGTATACGAGCGCCTGTGTGCATGTTTAATTGTGCTGTGGTGCTGCTGAGCTTTTCAGCATATGTTTGGAAACACTGCCTTCGCTTTAACATACTCATTTTTTTAATTTGGTGCTGGAGCAGTTTGGCTTTGGGGGTGACGTAATTCATAGCAGGCTTCTCTGGGTTTCACCACTAGAGGAGGCTCTTTACCTATAAATGATGGGCTCAGAGACCGAGAGAGAAGAAAGAAGAAAATCGGCCTTTGGCTTCAATGTTGAGTTAACAATGGACAAATGCTGCAAGGCACATGGACAGTTTAACAGAGCTTCTACCTATGTAGAATACGTGCATAGAATTCAAGCCACTATTTTCTTTTTATTGTCTGTATTTTAGCTTGATAGGTTGAAATCAAAAGTCCTTGAACAAAATGTAACATTAACACCACCTGAGCTCTTATTTTTATGCCACAGTTCCTGACACTGTATCAAGAACTCCGTCATGCACATTTCTTAAGAATAAAGTCATTGTTTAAGGAAGAAGACACATGAAAGCGGGGGTGCACTGTGAGTAATAATGTACCAGCAATCAACATACATTCCTCATTACTTTTTCATAATTTAATATTTTAACTACAGTTAAATTAAAGGTCTAGTGTGCATGATTCAGGGGCATCTATTGGCAGAAAGTTGTGTGTAATATTCATAACTATGTTTTCATGAGTTTTTAATCACTTGAAAATAAGAATTGTTGTCTTTTTTTTCTCTTAGAACAGGGGTGTCAAATGGGGGCCAGAACCGACTCGCCAGAGGGTCCAGTCCAGCCCACTGGATGATTTTGCACACCTGATATTGAGGCGCCAGGTTTCAGGAAAATGATGGAAAACATTGTCAACCAGCAGCTTCAGTACAAAAGAATCTGTATCAGACTTATATCTTAGGATAATGTGGGTGGAGCCCTGATCAGTGCCCGGTGTTGTGTTCACACCGGGAGCAAATAAAACAATTTGCACAAGTAAGTAACAAGTAAAGTCAATGTAAAGACACGATAGGACACGAATTCCCACTGGGTGGCGCAATGGACGCAACACAAATGATGCAAAATATGCAAACTAAGCGGTGCAAATGAAGAAAGTAGCACAATTTCATGTTATACGCTTATTTGTGAGAGTTGAAAAATCTGAACTCCAGTGACTTATTCGCACTGCGATAGCCAATCAACATTGAGATCCTCCAGGGACGAATGATTCTGAGGACATACTGGCAGAAGTTCATTCATTGATTCCATGATTTCACGCAAGTATGATGAGAGTTATTTGCACATATAAAGCGAGTCAACACAAAATATTCTAGCCATCAAACTCGAATAACGTGACATGAAAAATTCTATCGCGTTTGCTGTGAACACAGCATTAGACTGACAAATCTTCAGATTGTACATGATTTGTAGAGCAGAGGATGACGTAACCTGTGTCTTCAATAGCTTCCACTTTAGTGGGAAATGTAACAGAAAAGTCAGTAATGAAAGTGAGTAGTTGACTGACTGAATGAAAAAAAAAGAGACATACTGTTAAATTTGCACATATTTTTATCAGGATATCTCTGGTCCTTTTGCACAGAGTCCGCCATGTTGTCGGACAAATCAAACACTGGCTTTAGGTGGCTGTGAGGGTCCAAAGGACAGAGAGATGTCGTATGCTGTAAAGCCCTGTGAGGCAAATTGTGATTTGTGATATTGGGCTTTATAAATAAAATTGAATTGAATTGAATTGAATTGAGACAGGGCCATCGGGTTTTCACAGTTTCATATTTTCACACCCATCGCTGTAGTTCTTCTCTGCGCTCAACATATGGGAGAAGTTTCAGTTTTGCAACCTCACCACTAGATGTCACTAAATCCTACACGCTGGACCTTTAAGTACAGCAGAGAGACAAGCGGAGACAGAGCAACAATTCCTGCTACAATGTAGCACATTGGAGACATCAAATCAAAGTTAATTAAATGTAAATTAAATGTAAACTCTAAGATTTTGACACACTCTCTGACCAGACTAAAATGCAACATCTGCTTGGAGAAAATAGTGTCAGCAACATAGATGCAGCAAGATTCGTCACAGCTGAAGAGACAACCAACACAACAACATATAGTTCATCTCATCACAGATCACAGTCTGCCTTTTTGTTTACTCCTTAACTTATTTTTTTCCTCTGAAATTTATGTCTATGCATTTGTAATAATACATTGTTTTTGAATTATCGCTGTCTTAAATTGTATCTGTGCTTTGACAACACATATGAAATTTCATGCCGATAAAGTTTACAGAATTGAAAAAATTGTGAGTATTTAAAAAAAAAAATGTCTATAGGCTATGACTACGTAAGAGTTGGTAATGTCCCATGTTTGTACCAACTTTATTTTTAAATGCAGTCTTGATGTAAAAAAAAAATGTGGGAGAGTTTTTGTGGCTGAGAGCCGTTATAGGAAAGGAGCTTGAAAGTTTAGCGTTTAGGATTTTACGCCCTTTTTTCTACAGCTTCCTAAATCTATGAGGTCAACTTCCTGAACTGCTCTCTACCCCCTTTTTAAAGAAGAAATAAAGTGTGTGTTAGTGTATGTGAGTGTGTGTCAGACAGAGAGAGACAGAGAGAGAGAGAGAAGGAGGGACGGAGATTATGGAATGCTGTGATGTCATCAGCCCAGTCATACACACAAAGACAAGGAGGACCCACAGGCGCTCTGACTCTCTCTCAGCTTAGTTAGCATACTCTGCTGTGGTGGAGCGGCTGTCTACATCCCACTGTGAGTACTTGAGCAAATTCTACTCTTCTCTTACAACTCCCTTTTGTTTTCTATCACTTCCTGTCTGCGTTCACTTTCCCCCCCTTTCCACGGGTTTCCTTCTGTGCACCCTACAATGCGTTTAGCAGACACCAATCTGTATTCCACCACTGTGATAGTTCTCAGTCTGAGGCAAGCTTTCTTTCCCTCCAAGTGCTGCTTATGTGGTAGCCATTGTTTAACTACCCACTGTGATTGGAGGAGTCCATTTCAATCCCCTTGTTAGAGAAACCGGCTCATGCTGTCCTGGGCTATGACCCTGTTGTGGTGTTTGTGTTTTTTTTCTCTTACAACTAGGAGCTGACCATGTTAAAATGGTGCCGCTATCTCGTGGGAGTTTTGGGGGAGAAAGGAACATGGGTTTGGGAAGGGATGTGTGTTAGGGAGGAGGAGGAGGGAGGAGGGAGGAGGGAGGTGGGTCACTGATGACAGAAACAGTCCCATTCCTTTGGAATCTCCTCCCATTCTGGGCTGCAGTTTCTCTGTCAGTTTAGAAACAGGGTCTGGGCTCTTCCGTATTCATGAAGGGAGGGACATGATAGCCGACTGAAACAGACTCTCCAAAGGAATGACTGGAAGGAAAAAGTTTCTGACTGTGACAGAGGTGGGATCAAGAAAAACTTGGAATCTATAGGGCACAACATAATCTTTGATTGCTTCAAGTGTTCTCTGTTTTTTTTTTTCTTTTAGACTGTCCCAATGATGACCTCCAAAGACAAAGGACACTGACATATTAGTAGGGTGGGGAAACTGTCAGCACAACACAGAACGGAAACAGGATTTTGTGTGAGTGTGTGTGAGTGGATGTATGCGTGAGATTGTACCTCCTGTACAAAAGCGTGTGTGAGGATGGGCATGCGCCTTGATTCGCCAAAAGGAGTTTATGTGAGTAAATGAGAGTGATTTCACTGTAAAGAAGTCCGTGAAAGTCTTCTGATGCCATGAGACTATAAACCAACACTGTCCACCTCAAGAAGCCGCTGGCCAAAGGACAGTGTCTCCTACCTCAGACAGCTTGGTCAGGTGGTACCAAGTACGCCCACCACTCAGCCGCCAACATGCTGCAGCAGATCTTAAAGGACATGTACATCGACCCCGATGTGCTCAACGCTCTTAACGAGGACCAGAAAAAGACTCTGTTCCTGAAAATGCGCCAGGAGCAGGTGCGGCGCTGGAAGGAACAGGAGGAGAAACTGGAGAGAGAAGGGGGGGACAAACGGACAAAGCCAAAAAAAGGTAACCACGCCAACACATCACCGCCACCTCACCTCTGTGAACCTTTCTTCTTCCTGTTTATCCACTGCCACAGGGTGTAGCAGCAAGTTTTTCAAGCGTCCAAGACTGTTTTAAACTTCTGTCATAAAGCCATCTGTCCCCCTTTCAAGGATTAAACTGAATCTTTTTTTAGTCAAGATGTCTGCGTAGTCCGCTGTGAGTTACCTAACAGAGACTTACTAAGCAGTGCAGAAGTATGCGTGCATTGGTTGTGACAGACATCATTTCCTGCTGGATGTAGTGTCACTGCTGGAGCTCATGTTCCCTGTCACCCTAACAGCTGTTTGCCACGACAGGCACAGCGTTTACCTGAAGTCCATTTGGCAAGTTTAAAGTTTCCTGAAGTACAAACTTAGGCTAACAAACACCAGCTGCTCCGCATTAAAGTGTCTGGAATGCAGCGCGGTATACAGACAGAAACCCAAGAGCATTTATACTTCACTGATATGAAGTTCTATTTATATCTTAAGTCCTAAACAATTATAGCGGATTAATGATGTGGGTGGATTCATGTTGACATCACACTCACAGATGATATTAACATTTACACAAGCAAAGTAAAGTAGATGTCATGGGAAAATAATATTCATCCTGAGATGAGCGTATTAGAAGAGGCATGTATTAAGAGTGTTTAAGAAATGCAACTGTGATGGTGAATGTTAAGTATGTGGCGGTCTGTGTATGTGTTCACATGAACATGATTTGCCCTCAGGCTCTCACTCAGATCATTTTGTTCCCAGTCACACCACGCATCGCGAGCCTGAGAGCGACAGAGAAGGATATTCACTAGGTCAGAGGTGTCAATCATGTCTGGAATGTGCATTTGATTGAAACTAGTTAAAAAGAAATAAAAATACCCGCGAGGAGGAAATGCAGAGGCAGTGTGGACGGTAAATGGGTTCATCAGGAATTGACCCCTCCTCAGAAGGAGTCAACAGTATACATGCAGCAATCAAACAAACACAACAACCAGAAACTCAGGAGGCTGTAAGTCTGTCCTCAAACTGGTTTGACGCATACTACAGAATCTCGCCTGTCTGCATTTTTCCTTTAGTGGTAGCAAGTAGTTGTATGAGAACCGTGTGGTGTTATGACTCTGACATAACTGACTGTTCTGTTTTTATATGCCAAAGATGGACTTTTACTGTAGATGAGGAACTACTGAAGAAAACACCAGCTGCTGAGAACTCATTTGAATGTTACGTAAAAGGACAGTTCAGCCCAAAATAAAAAAAAACACATAATTGTTCTCTTACCTGTAGTGCTGTTTATAAATCTAGATTGTTTTGGTGTGAGTTGCCGAGTGTTAGAGATGTCTGCCTTCTCTTGAACATAAAGGAACTAGATGGCACTCGGCTTGAGGTGCTGAAAAAAAACAAAACAGCAATGGTTACTCAAGATAATCTACAGACCTTGTTGTGAGCAGTTTCATGTAGGAACCATGGATGGATTATTGAAGAAGCCTACAAGGCACAGGCCCAGGGGCCCCCTTTGCCTTCATGTCATTCATGTTACCGACCAGGAAGAGACTCAAAATGACCAGAGAGAGGTGCAAAGAAACACAAATAACTATAAGAGTGGGAAAACAACCATAAGGTGACACAAAACAACCAAAAAAAGACACAATATACACAAAACAACAACAACGACAAAGAGGCAAAACCACCGCAAGGTCTGTTCGTTTTGCTCCTTTGTAGGAAAAGTGGTGGGGCCTTTTGCATATCTGTGTTCAGGGGCTTTGAGAAGCGCTTTACAAATAAAGTGCTTTACATGGTTGATCCCAGATTTAAAACTATGCATGATTGAAGCAAATAAAATGAGACACTTTTAAGAAATACAAAGAACAATAAAAATAAAATAAAGATAAAATACCATCACTGAAGCAGATATTCAAAGTTGGCAACTAATTGCCCTGTTGATTGCACACAGCAAGGTACAGCAAATCGAACAGAATGCAAACAAAATATTCTATTGAACTACAACCGCTAATGGTATCATGGCACAGAAGGAAGCATCTACTGATAGCTAAACTAGCACAACTGAGCTAACCAATGTTACAGCTCAACCAAGGAGGAAGCCATTAATGTTTAAGATTTTTGCACTGTCACGAGCACGAGCCCCTCATCCAGTAGTAGTTTCACACTTCTTTCTTTTTGCTGATACAGTTGGCAGGTGTAGTTAGGTGGAAAGAAAATAGTTCCTACGTGAAACTGCTCACAACAAGTTCTGTGGATTATCTTGAGTAACTGGGTCATGATTTCTGGAAGGAGACATTACTAGCTATGTTTCCATCCAAAAGTGATTTGAATCATTGGGAAATGTGCATTAAAAGAAAAACGAATCCTGTTTCCATTAAATGTATGGACTTTGGTGAAAACTATGAACGCGAGTTTTCCACAGAACCGGAAACAAAACAAGTCTCGCATTCTTCTTCTTCTAAGTTTACTGGCGGATGGCAACCAGATTGTAAATGCATTACCGCCTTCCCAACACGGAGTATGGATATCACCATGGAGAGAGGTGCGCTACGTCAGACTTAATTCGAACATAAATGTTTCCATCCCCCGTTTTGCGAATCAACATTTTTTCAAATCGACCAAAACCCGGCTAAAGCGAGCGTATTTTAGTTTGTGCGAATCAGGGGATTTTAATTCGAATTATTCTAGATGCGCATCTAAACAGGCTGATGGAAACATGGCTACTGTTGCACTTTGAGCACCACAAGCCGAGTACCATCTAGTTCCATTATATTCAAGAGACGGCAGACGTCTCTGTGGTCGATATCTCCAACACTCTGCAGCTCACACCGAAACAATCTAGACTGATACATATCACTACAGGTAAGAGGAAAAACCTGTATTTTTGATTTGGGGCTGAACTGTGCCTTTAAAATCAGTTAATGGCACACTGCAGTTGGTGCATTAACTTTGATTGACATAGTAATGCGATCTGTCTCGTCCTGTCTAATAACAAAGCACTTACTATCAACTGTGGTGCAGAGTGAGAGAACAGTGCTCTTTCTATCTCTTAATGACCGATGCAGCTGTCTTTAGGAGGCTGGATGGAGACTGCAGGCTGAGATCACATGGTCACACAACTCTTCTCCACACAGGCTCTCTCGCTCCGTCTGCAGCGCGGAGGAAATGGTGGATGGATCTGTGTTTCTGTGTAAAAATAGGAAGTGAGTCAAGACTGGATCCCTTAAACAATTAGCAGGGAGCGAAACAGGAAGCATGCAGGAAATGTATGTGTGTTGAAAAACAAAGAAAGAGTTTGATTGTATCTAGATGGCCTTGTGGGAGAACTCATGTGAAGTTTGTTTTTATGCACAGAAAATGAAGCCGGAGTCTCTCTCAGCTGCTGTTAACAGTTTCAGCCTTTGGCCTTTTTGATCATGGGACTTTTTGCGGTGGTTAGGCTGACTTTATGGTCATTTGTGTTGATGTGCTCTGACTCATATGCTGGCGTGTTTGCGTGTGTGTGTTTATGTTGACTGAAAACTGGTGAGCCTCACATGAGGCAGAGACGTGGCTCAGTGTTTTGTTTCTGTGACCTTTTTCTTAGTTATCTTAGCATTGTTCTTCACATATGGAAAAAGTAATTGTGTTTTAAAACTGTCTATTACAGTAGGACACATGCCAACACACTAATCTTTTAAATATCCCTGTGCTCAGCTGACATCAATCTCACTTGCACATGACAATAGTGTTGTGGTTTTAGCTGTCAGATCGCGCTAATAACCTGTTTACCAAGGTATGCTCTGACTGCTGTGTTTTCGTAGTCATCCTGGTATGCCACAATGCAAACCACAGGGCAAGCTGGCAAAACCAGTTTGCTATGAAAGTATGTTATCCTGTTTTCCACCCAACGAGCTCTCACCCTCTGAGCCCATGTCTGTTTTTTTCCAATGTGAAGTGACTTCTTTATGCTCCTAAACATTAGTCACAAAGCAGTGACATTGCTGTATGTTGTGGAAGTCTGTGTGCCCTATTGTGCTTGTATGGGGACTCAGTGTCCTCACAAAAATAAACAAGTAAGGAGAGTGTAACACAAGATCTCATTTAGTGATATTTCAGTTAGCAGTTGGGATTGGGCGTTGTAATTAGTTCAGATTAGGGAATGAAAACAGTTAAGGTCCTCACAAGTATAAGTATACAAAACCAGGGCAGTGTTTTCACCTGTCAACTCTGCTTATATCATCTATAAGAAGATGCCGTCTCATGCATTTGTGAGCTGCTTCTCTGGATCCACCAGCTGTTGCACCTGTCTGTCTATAAACACAACAGCAGCCTCAATTTGTCAGAGACACTTGACGACGACGACAGTTTTATTTCAGAGCTACACGAGCTACAACTGATAATCTGAGAGATCATGAATATACAGTATTTCAAAATAATTGTTTAGAAGTTTGTATTTGTTGGTCGTATACCTCAATGGTCGAATGCTGTTGGCTGGAAAAAGACTCTTACCAGGAAATGGATATCACAGGAGAGCCCAACAGTAAACGTATTGACAGATATTACAATGGACATTTACAAAATGGAGAAGAAAACAGCATTCGTCAACTTTAAAACAGTACAATTTGTTGCCTGATGCGAAAAATAGGTCAGCTATGTAAAACCCCATAGGCCTGACGTTATTTTCACAAATCATTGAGTATATTGTAAGGAAAGGGTCACTCCCTAACTGTTCATAGTTTCCCTTGTTATATTTGGTTTTTATAGTTTTTTTTCTTCCTTTGGCTCTGTATTCGTGCCTCTGAAAAGCTCACATTGGCATCTGTGACAAACATGAACATGTGGTGTACGCATACAGCTGAGGTTTAATGTTAAAAGCCAATAAAAAGTAAATTACAAAAATAATAATAATAAATGTTTAGAAATGATGGCTTTCAAATTCCTAAATAGGTCAGAGAAACAGTGGGGTCTGGAGGGGCCAGGGCCACCCTGATACAGTTGTGCCTAAGTTATGCTACATTTTGAAGTGGAAAAAAGTTGCATGGCTATTTTCAGAGGGGTCCTCTGAACTCTCACCTTAAGTTATTGGAATGAAAATAAATTCTATGGGCACCTGCGAGTCTCTTCTAAACTTTAAAAGGCTTATTTCCAGTAAATGTTTTGTTCCTTACAGTCAAAGTACTCCTTCAAATTAAAGCTGTATATTTGTCTTTTTAAGGAATAGGATGACCAGCAGTTGCCTAACATGTGTAGAGACATGACACAATAAAACTGGATTGCTTTGGAACTGAAAATGTTTACCGGTATTAGTCTGTGCACGTCTGGTAATTGGTAACAGTAACTTAAAAATAAAGAAAACACAGTATAGCTTAGCTGTCATAGTTTTGAACCAGCCTATTACAACAGTAAAACAGAATTCCTTGAAGCTCAGTAATGGCTTTTGATTTTGCTGTGCCGCTGCAAAATTTTCAGTGGCCCCATCTGGCCACCACTACAAAAAATCTCTGGGGACACCACTGCAGAGAAAGTAGGATAGTAATATTTTTGATAAAAACCAAGCAAGTTTTGGCAAATGACTAAAGAGGACACCTATCACATAAAAAAATGTTCTATTATAATGTGTGATTTTGATTGATTATATGTCCTGTAAAAATATCATACTATGGTTTCACTTTTCCTCTCTTTACACTGCCTTTTGCTCTTTGCATGATTTTCATTTATAAATATGTCCATGCTCTGTGTTTCAGTAGCAGACTAATTCATATTTTGCGTGTGTTTGTGTGTTACCTCCAGCCAACAGTAAGAATGTGAGCTGGCTGCTCGGCCGGGACGGAGACGTGGCGGTCATTGTGATTGGGGAGGTGGATGAGCTGAGCTCCAAATTCATCTGCTCGGGATTTGGAGAAAAGAAGACGCCGACTCTTCAGAATAATACAAAGTAATATACCACACAGACAGTGTTAAATGTTGGATTACCAGGGCTATCATTATCATATCATACTGTACCAGGGTTATTGTTGGATTATCAGGGGTTTCTGTTGTGAACTTAATGGCATTATAAAAGATAATATGTGTACCGTATATATAAAGATATATGATGTGATGTGTTTTACAGCCATCAAACCATCTTGAAGAGCAGAAAAAACTCAGAACCTGCCAGAGAGAACCTTCCTCCTAAAACACAACCTGGGATCTCACTGAATTTAAAGGTGTGTAGCTGTTTGTCTGTAATATTACTGCCTCCTGGTCTCATTGTTAGGTGATGAAACCAAAGAACCTGATAAAGGAAAATCCTTAGGAAAAGGAGATGAGTGGTTGCTCTGTATAGTCAAACATAGATCAAAAGTGTGTCAGGTGCTTTTGGAAAATGAGAAAAAAATTGAGGCACTGCAAATTATATAAAAATTAAATAAATAATATCAGTCTGAAAGGAAATATTAAAAAGCCTTAATTGTAGTGACTAAATCATTAAAAAAAAGCTTACATGTTTCAACCACTGTAGGAGTGTTATCTCACCTGTATAGTAGCAGCAGCCAATGGGAGGCAGTCATGTGACCTGGATAATAACATGACAGGTAAAGCACATTAATAATGATAAAAACATAAAATAAATTGAGATGACTACAAAGAAAAATATGTTTTTTTCATACATCATAAATGTAAGATAGGTACCCATAGCTTCTAACATAGGCTGTGAGAAAAAAAACCCAGGGGAGTCTATTTAGAGAAAAGAGACAAATTACAGAAAGCGTGTGAAGTGTGTATCCTCACTGACACCAGGACCCAGTTGTTCAAGAAATTTAATCTGGATTAGACTGGTCCAGATTTTGAAATCCCATGCCCAGCTAATCCATCTTGGATTAGCATTGGATTGGATCTCCCTGATCCAGATACAAACTTTTCAAGATGACCAAATCCAGATAACCAGTGCTTTAAATGACAATGTAGACAGGCTGCCAACTAACACACTGCAATTACCGCTTATCGCCTTAGATGCCATCAAAGAGAACAAAACAGAGATGTTTGAGCTTGTAACTTTAAATATTTTGTGTTTGATTTTGACAGCTATTTGGGGGATTATTCTATAGGGACAACATCCTTTTTTTGCCCAATACTTTATTAACTTTATTACAGTAACTGGTAAACAAATCAAGTGCAAAATATAAATAACTTTATATGTATCCACCCTGAAACCACACTTCTGATGGGATCAGGATAATCCCATTTTTTTGGATTAAAGGTGTCCCAATCCTACTCAAAAGTTTTGAACAAAACATACTGAAGGTTTGATCCAGATCAAAAGCAAGACTGGATTACAAGATCTAATCTGATTTCAAAATCCTTTTGTTCCTTTAGAACAACCCATTTTCATCCCATCAAGATTTGATCTGATCAGATTACTTACAGAAAAACTGGGCCAAGGATAATCAAGGAGGAAAATGATGTTATTTAAATATTTACTAGTCTGTATGTGAATGTAAAGATGCAAAAATGTGAAAATGATTAAGACTGATAAACTTGTACCAAAGTTCTTCTTCCCTCGCCTCCTTAATTCAACACATCCATCCCAAACATAACACCTCCATGACTCAATTTTCACTTCTCTTACCTGCAGTGCAGTTTGCGAAAACTATCAATTAGGCTTCTGAGCATAACTGGTGGAAGAAAAATGTATGTAGCCCTATTAATTCCAGTCGTTATTTTGTGTCAAAATAAGCACTCACAGTGCATAATTTCCAGGGCGATGGTGTGTGTGTGTGTGTGTGTGTGTGTGTGTGTGTGTGTGTGTGTGTGTGTGTGTGTGTGTGTGTGTTCTGGGCGGTGGGTGGGGGGGGGGGGGGGGGGGGGGGGGGGGGGGGGGGGGGGGGGGGGGGGGGGGGTGGGGGGGGGGGGGGGGTGTGATAGGAGGGTGCGGGGGCTCTTTTTTTTTCACGCTATCTTAAAAAGAGATTTGCTGCGTTGTCATGGCAACCGTGCACACAGTGAGCCAGAGCGAGCGCCGGGGTGGACGGTCTCATCTGGCCTGACCACGATGCTTCTCGGAGCTAAAGCTGCGCGCTGATGCTCACTCGGCGGAAACGCGAGCATCTCAGACAGTCACTGATTATCCTGCAGCCACATTAACACACGCACTGCACAGACATGTCTCAGAATATTTGCAATATATTTCTGATATGATTATAACTCTTACTTAACTCGCTCGCTCTGCTCTTTCCTGCTCATTTAAGTACTGAACTGAAAGTTAAGGAGGATGACGTGTCGCCTCTGGTATCATCTAACATGGCACTGTCTCTCCCAACAGGGGAAATGTGAGGAGACGAGCACTTTACTCCCTCTGCCGGTGAGTTGGAGAAACTGCCTGCTGTAATTGAGCTCTGTGCTCTGTGGTTTGCATCATGGCCTGTAACACTCATGTAATGTCTTTGTTAAACCCACAGGTGTCAGTGAGTGAGCATTCATCACCTCCAGCAGCAGAGAAGGTATTTGTGACTGTAGTTTTTTTTTACTTTACAGTTGCTGCAATCCAGTTTTTTAGCATTTAAAATATCTTCCTGCTCTTATTTCAAGGTGGTTTATAAAGCTTAGAACAGTTTGTGTTTTAGTGTCATCTGCAATGAGTAACCTATTTCAAAACACATCCACGCATACCCCAGCAAGGTGTGATTAACAGTGTAGCAATCCACTCTTCAGCTCTTTTGAAATGTGGCTTTAGAGCGCCTACGTGTCTTTTCATGGCAGTCCCACCCTCTGTGAGTAACAGGAAATGGTGGTTAGGCCAGCTGTCCCCTCACTCCCAGCCTCTCTGCAGATCATCTTTCTCCCAGCATTCTCCCTCCCTGTGCTCCCGCTCGCCTGAGCCGCCGCACCCCTCACAGCTCTCTCCGGGGAACAGCTGAACTGAACTGTCCTCCCACTGGCTCCATCATCGCCCCAGCCTTGGGTTGTCTGGGGAGTGTGCTCTCCATCTCCCCTCGCTTTCCTTCCCTTGCTGTGTTTATGTGCACGCAAGTGTGTGTCTGTGTGCGTGTGTGTGTGAGTGTGTGTGCAGGTGACACGCGCTGCGAGAACAGCTGAATCACAGAGGCAAGGCAGGATTTCTGGACTGCCCTAGAACAGATGGTTGATGAACTTGATCAGGGAATTAAAACGCCAGAGATAGAGAATGCGTCAGTCGCAGATGGATGGGATTGTGGGATAGTCTCTTGAGGTTTGGGCGCGTGAGCTTTCCTCTGTTCTCTGTTTTTCCCCTCCTCTTTGCCACAGAAGGAGACGTCTCTCCCTCACTTCCTCACTTGCCTTATATCTATACCAGCCTCTCTATATTACAGGCCCTAACACATCTCTGGGCAACTCATGCCGATGTGACAATGAACACCTTAGGAGGTTTGGCCGGTCTGACAGCCTGAGCCTCCCCTTACAAGATTCATTATTTTGTTGAATGTCTTGTTTGTAGGTAGAGTGATTTGTCTCTGGAAACAGGAAGGGGCTGGTTTGGTGCTGCAGATGTATTAGTGGCTGTTGCTAGCCCTGCTGCAGGTTTTCTCCAGTTGATTTAGAGAGGGAAGGAGTCAGCCTGAGAGAGGAGGAGAGAGTGAGATTGTTGATTAAGAAGGCGTAAGATGAGGAAGGAAGATTAGCGAGGCTGCTTGATTTCCAAGTCACCTTATAATTTTCTCCCTACACATCCTTAAACTCTTAATCAGTGGTCATAGTTCTGTGTGTTTCATTACGGTGCAGTGTAGTCACTGGAGAACTGTAATTTGGTGAATCATTTATCCAATGATTTAATCAAACATGACAGTAATTCCACTGTATGTGAATTAGCTGTCAACACTGATCGCGCTCCTCTGTCCTCTTTTGTCACTCTCCCCTCTGCAGCCCGAGTCGAAGTCAGCCAGTGCAACTGAGGAGAAGTCAGTTCCCCAGCCCTCCATCTGCTCCAGGCCTCCCATGAGAGCGAGCCCTGTCAGTGTGAGACCAGCTTCTGCAAATGCAGCACCAGGCTCTGTCAACACGAGACCCGGCATGGCAAATCTGAGGCTGGCCACCGCCACACCGGCCCCTTCCCCCAGCAGCGCTGTCAAAATAGACTCTGGATCAACCAAAGGTGGCCTGCACTCACAGGACTCTCAGAAGCCCCAGGAACAGCAGAGTGGGAAAGGTGAGTGAGCATGGCGTCATGGGGAAGGGTACAGGATGGGTCTGATGTTAACAGAAAGAAAGAAAGTCTTCCTCTACGTCCATTAAATGAGCTAATATTTCGTCCAGGCCGCAGTCTTTCTTTGCCGGCGAATTAAAGGGAAAATTTGCCACCTTTCATGTGGATGTCCAGTCAGTGTTGATAGTAAATTTCGTTGACTGAAGCAATAAATCGCTTGTGCGTGCTATATTACACGGACAGCTGAGTTGTCCTGTTCACAGGGTCGTGCCTGCACCTACGTGTACCATAGGTGAAGATTTAGGGGGGTTGCAGGGGACATGGCCCCTTCAATATTAAGGACATGTGCATGGTGCAAAGCATGAAAATAGCAAAGGACTTTCACATTTACACCATAAACTGATGCAGAAAAATTCACCAGAATGCAGGAAATGAAGCGTCTGGTGCTCAGAACTTGGTTTCAAGTCCCTCCCAAAGTTTAAACGAAATCTATGCCCTTGTGTACCAGGTTGCATTGTGCACGGGCTTCTAACGCCCATAGCTATTACTTTGTTGGCCAAACCATAATGTCGCCATGGTTTGTAAGTCGTGCCTTTACTTCTGCAGGTAACAAAATAGAAACAAGGACTCTCCATAGTCTGAAACAGCGTGAACCAAGACAGTAACAGTCCATTATTTTCACAGTGTGTACTCCCTCCATTTTTTACGTTCAAAATAAAAACCCAACTTAAATTACTTAGAGCATTTTATTGAGAGGCAACTCAACAAATCAGCTCACAGTTGCCTACAGCTTACATCATCTGCCCCCTCGGCCCTGCTGGCCTTGGTTGTCTTTTCCAGTTTATCTTCAGGATCCTTAAGAAGGTCTCCAGCTCACCTCTGTCCAAGTGAGGAGTAAAAACTTAAATGCAGAGTAACACAGAGAACGCACACACGGGCTCTCCCGGGATTGGCGTTGATGACCGCATTCAACAAAAACTGCCCACCCTGAAATTTGTTGCAGCAGAATGATTAAGGCTCTGTTGGCAACGGAGGGCAATTTGAGCAAAGGCACCAGCGTTCAGTGTTTGCTCTCAGCAGCTCAAGCTCTGGAGGGTCCCTGTCGGCCATAGTCTCTTTCACAGCTAAGGCAGCTTCGGCTTTTGTCCCGCTGAATTTCTTCAGCCGTATAGTGCGGCTCAAATAAATACAGCTCAATATCCGAGTCAGTCAGAACACTGTAGAATGTGTCCTTCTTCTCATATTTTGGGATCTTATTTTTGCTGATGGAAACATAGCTAGGAACGTAACACGGAAGTTCTTTTTTGAGCGGCATCTAGAGCACGGCCTGTGGCTACCTGGCGACTTCCAGTCTGTAGTTCTACCTTGCCTCCAGCAACATCACTGTCATGTCAAATGACAGCGCTGCATGCAGGAAGAACAGATTTTACAGCTGCGAATTCAGCTTTCTTCGTAAATTTAGCAAGCACTAAGGAATTTATTGCTTCAATCAGTTTCATTTACCATCAACACTACTTGAACATTTACATAGAAAGTGGCGCAACTTCCCTTTCAGAGAAACACACAAACAGCAACGTTAATGATGGCTGGTGTCATCGTGGATAAACACAGCTAATAAAAAACATCCCTGAAAATAGGATATCCATTACTCACACTGTGTAACTTCTGTTATGTTTTATAGTTAGATGTTACATAACAGAGGAAGACTGGACACAGATGTGAGTTTAAAATTGAATCCACAATATTGCATCAAGCTTACATGACAGTCACCTCACGCCACTGAGCGAACAAGAGAAACCCTTTCCTCCACTTCTTCTCTGTGAGCAATAATGGCTGCAGAGAGCAGAAGCAGTCTGAACAAAGTTCTTACTAGATAGGTTTCTCAGTGCTGCAGCACGGAAGAAGGATTTATTTCTCCAAACCTAATGTGCTCGCCAAATAGTGCCTCAGCCCGCTGGAATCTTTATGGACTGGCAGAGTAAAAAGAGGCCAGCCTAGAGGGGAAAAAAGCTTCTGTGACTGGGATTTGTGTCGTCCTACTGCATCGCCCCAACACACCTGTTTGTTTGGTAGCCTCTCTTTTTGTCAAGGGTGCATGTAGGCAGTGAAATTGTCAATAAATACTCTCGCTTGGTTGAGGTGCATGGTCACCTGATAAAGTCTGTTACTAGAGGACAGACTAATAAAAAATGGAGCACTAGTCTTTCCGAGCAATATCACAGGATTTGTGCTGAAATGAGAAACAGGAAACTCCCTAAACTTCATGCTCTCTAACAGCTGGGTTTTATAGTAAATGTTAGTATTTAACTCAGTTAAAATCTTATATTTCTCCCTTGCTATTCAGTTATTTGGAATAATTAGTATGCCCCATATAATCCAAAACCATACTATACTGAAACCTGCATGCATGTTATATTAAAGGAGGTGTATGTGACATTCAGAGCATTAAAATAGCAGCAACCCACTATTTGCTATGTAAAAATATAGTGGAGTAATGACATCCAGAGCACAGAACAAAGTCATATTTCCTCTGTTTGTGTTGTAATCTGAGCTTCTCTGTTCTTTGTTTTGGTAGCCAGTCTGGTTACACGTGCATGTGAGTCCCTGTGTGTGTTTACACTGGTTAGCTTATCACTGCCACGCTGCACTGTGGTCACATGGTGGTTGTTACTGCTGATATCGCCATCCCGACCTAGTGACAGACCAGCATTGTCACTGAAGTGTAACGCCCACCCCCCATTCCCCCGCCCAGGTGAACGAAGTTAGCAGTGTTGTCGTTGTTAGCACTGTTGCTGTTGTTAGCACTGTTTATGCACTGAGACCTGAGCCACCTGAGAGCTGTGTGCCAGCAATCGCGGGTCATACTCTAAATCTACAACTGCAATTAGATGGACATGAATAACCCGTTAATGAGGCTTATACCGGTTATTCGGGATAGGACTGCATGAGCACATGGAAGAACGAATTATTCATATTCCTCATATGCATCCATGTTTCTCTCAGAGTACTTCAGCTAGCATATTTGGGTTCCTCATAACCGCATTATGATTTTTACATGGTCAAATACATGAACGGGATACTCCATAAACGCGTTACTCATATCCATAAAAACATACTCACAGACATGCTCTGAATGTCACACACAGCCCCTTTAAAAGGATGATCATTAAATAATTTCACACAAATTAAATATCTAGTAACACAACTTTTTGTTTCTCAATATTACCCACAATTTAATTTAGTAGCATAGGAAGATTCAGCAGTATGTTAAAATGAAGTCATATGCTTTGGTGGATTGAAAGTGTTGTTGCACATGTGAAGAGAGGCATATGAGAGTTTAACCATTTGATTTAAATTTTTGTCAGCTTTACAGTGCTGTCTGTAGTATTTGGTGTCTTTGTCTTCACTGAACCAGTAAGAACAGGTAACTCTGTAATGCACAAAGGCATGCGGGGAGAGTGGTAGTTAAAAAACTAGCCAATTAACTGCACACCTCACAGGCATTACCCATTTTATTCCATTTTTCCACAAACCTGTTGTATGCTTATCTGTCTGTCTCTCTCTCTTTGTGTCTGTGTTACTCGCTTGTTTTTGCCTTTGTCCATGCAGACGCTCATTGTATAGGTAGCACGGATATTTTTCTTCATATATCTTAGGCCTTGACATGAATGTTATTGTCACTATAGCTCTGTCAGTATGTTTTACAGACTGCGCCTTGTCTGAATTTTGTGTGACTTATTGTGATTTCCAGACTTCCTGTCTGAACACAGAACCCAATTTCATGAATTGACCAAACACTCATTCACCATACAGTGACCCAGTTATTTAGAAAAATGGGTAGTGTGAGGGTGAAGTTAGCACCATCCAGTGGAAAACAGTGATAGTGTAAGAAAAAAAACTCCAGTTGGACAGAAAACCTGATCTCCATAAGGTCCCTCTGCTGGAAATATGTTCATCCTACAGCACAGGAGTTTTATCCAGAGAAGCTTAAACAGAACATTAGACTTTATATGGGACAGTTGAATGGCACCACCCAGATTAAATGTCAAAACTACAAGTGTCTCTTATGTGACTCACAAATGCTAAAAAAGCAGACAGAAAATGAAACACATGTAGCGTGACTGATGCAGCTGAAAGAGCACTTTTTCTTTTCCTTTGAACACTAATTGTGAGAAGTTGTGCTGGGTCAATGCTGTGCTTTACTATTGTAGTCAGAAATGAAAGCAGAGTTAGATGAATTGTAAGATTAACATTATCCAAGTCAGATTTTGTCGGTGTGTATTATTTCATTCAGAAGAACACACCACAACAGCAATCTTTGTTTCAATACAATGACACAACGACAGACTCCTCAAGGTTGAGTGTGTGGGATCTTTTGCCTGCATGTTTTCTGGCACTCCTTCAAGGAACACTTCACTCTCAAAATGATCATTTGTACATGAATTAGTCAGCCTGTGTTACGTTAACTTGGTGAAAAAACTTTTTTTTTTTTCCTCTCATGCCTCCACTGTGAACAAAAAAATCCAAAACCAGAAAATTCTTGTTGACTTGAAGTAAACGGGGGACACGTTTAACAACAGCAAAAGTACGTATATAGAAAACATCCATTTACAATCTCTCACACAACTCGTGCAGGATAATCCAAGTCTCATTCATCCAGTTGTACACTCAGTACTTCCGTAACACATGCATTTTTGCTGAAACTAATACTATTTAAAACACTTCTGCTTTGGTATGCACATATGATTGAACTCTGCTCAACTGCTCAACTGAGCAGAGTTGCCCATGCACACTACTCGTATGTGTTTTTGCATGTGTTTTCGGAAGTCAAAGCATACGACTGGATAAAAGAGACTTAGGGTGCTTTCACACCTGCCCTGTTTGGTTCGGTTCAGTCAAACTCGGTTCATTTGTCCCCTAAGTGCAGTTCATTTGGGCAGGTGTGAACACAGCAATCACACTAGGGTGCGCAACCAAAACATCCGGACCGAGACCTTCTTGAA